TGTGTCCTATTAAAAGTCAAATTCTCATTTAAATCTAATAAATAAATATAATTTCTTATCTTTTATAACCAAGTTTTTTTAGATCTATCTCTTTTTCTTAACATAAGTCAAATCTAATACATCTGCTCTCCTAACCGGGTCATTGGAAGGCCAACGTTTTATATGACCAAATCAACTAAGGTGACATCTATCTAATCTTATTTTCTCCTGGAGCTACTCCAACCTTTTCATGTATATGCTTGTTTCGTAGTCTACCTCTAAAGAGCAAAATCACTCATCCACCTGAACATCCTCATCTCTACAACACTAAACTTAATTTTATGCTTCGCTTTTAATGACCAACATTTAGTACCATAAAGCATTGCAGGTCTCACCACCATCTTATAGAACTCCATAAATTTGAGTGATACTTTTCTATCACAGAACAAGCCTGATGTATTCCTCCACTTTAACCATCCAGCTTGAATTCTATTAATAATATCCCCATCTATTTCACCATCACTCTGGACAATAGAACCGAGATATATAAAACGTGTATTTGTATTAATGACTTGATCGCCTAAAGTCACAATCCCACCACTAGATCTATTACTAGTAAAATTAAACTCTATATATTCGGTTTTAAATTACTCAAACAAAAACTTGTAAACTCTAAGATTGACCTCCATAATTCAAGTATACCTTCAATTCCCTCTCTAGTCTTATCAACAAGAAGAATATCATCAGCAAAAAGCATACACTAGGGCAAACCCTCTCTAGTAAGAACATCCATTACTTAAGAAAACAGATATGGGCTTAAGACTGATATTTGATGTAAGCCAACTAAAATAGGAAAATACTTGGTCAAATCAACTTGTGTTTTAAAGGCTCTCAAGACTTGTAAAGAAAAAAAAAACGACTTTTTCAAATATTTAATACTTCTAATGGTTTTTTTAACTCGAGTGTTAAAGCATAAATTTGATTTAGAAGGAATTTGAACCCTAGGTCTTGGAAATAACTTTCAAATACCAAGTTCTTTAACAAGAACCAACTAAGCTAAATGGCACCCAAAAATCCATTTAAGGCTCAACTACATAGAGATAATATGTAGCTCAAATTCCAAAGAATTTCTCTATGGATTTGTTTGGATTGAAAGAAAATGAAAATGATAAATTCGAATAAAATATGAGTGGATTATGAATATATAGCCATTAGAGCTTTACAAACTTTTTTTTAATTTCCTTTCACTCAAATTCCCAGCATCCAAACATAACCTATGGTAAAGTATAAAAGCTTAGTTAGGGTAGAATTGAAAGGATAACCTCATGTTAGCCTTATATCTTCTTTCTAAGAGGGAATTATTTAAGCAAGAGATCTAATTTGAATTCAAAATCTAAGAGGGAATTATTTAGGGAAAATGACGAGGAATTGAGGGGGGGGGGTTATTTAAGAAAGTTTTAATTACAATTGAGAGGGGATTAATTAGGGAAATAAATTCAATTTAAATTCAAATATGAAAGGGAATTATTTAGAGAAAGGGCTGATTTGGGAGAAAATTATGTGAGCCTATTTAAGGCTAAAAATAGGGTGATTTCATATTATGTTTTGGGAGTTTGCTGAATTTAGTTCATTCTTAGAATATTTGGGCCCTAGCCGATGGATAGGGATTTAGAAGAACCGAATCTTCCTCTGCAATTGTATCTTGCTTTTTTTTTTTCATATATCTTGTAATATAAATAATTTTGGCATATTTTTCTTCCTAATTTCTTATCGTCATTCACTGATTTAGAAGAAATTACATCCACTTCCTATCAAAGTGGTATCAGAACACTTTTTTGGGACCTATAAAGAAAGTTGATGCCTTGGAAAAACATCTTAAAAGAAAAGTTGGCCAATTCAAATCGGTGTTTGAGGATAGAATGACATCAATGGAGGAAAAGTTTTCCAACCTAGAAGGAATGATAAGGAAACTATTGGAGCTTCACACCCAACTGACAATATTGGAGGTGAGAGCACCGTTGATTGAACTGGGAAGTGAGGGAGAATCGGAAGGTATAAGTTTTGGGCTATGATGCACCGACACTTCTCCTCAAAGAGGCGTGCAATGTCCGACACCATGTCTGACACAACACTCGTCCGACACTCCTCTGAAACGTGTCGGACACGCTGAAAATGTGTCCGATTAAAAAATATTAAAAACAAATTGGACACGCGTGTCTGACACGCGTATCTTAAATATTTTATAATTTTTTTAAATATAATTTCTTATATTTGGCGAGATTTAAACTAAATTTCTTATTTCATATCCACAACACCAAATCAACGTCTGCATTTAATACCCATTCATCGAATATTCTCATTTTCATTTCTCTTTGGCAGTGAAGGTATTTTCATCTCCTCTCTTTTTGCACAAGTACAAATCTTTCTCTTGTTAAACCAGAGTTGAAAGTAGTGATATTCAACGATGATGATATTGAAGGCCAAAAACAAACCTCTAAAGCTAATCCTAGTAGTTGAAGCTTGAATGCTTGATGTTGTAGTAAGTGATTATTTGCTTATATTTTTGTGGTTGTACTAGATATTTTGTACCAAAAATTTTATATTATAAGCTAGACAAATTATCATGTCATTCATTTATTATTGTTTGTCATTTTTAATATGATATTACATTAATATATATACACTATATAAAAAAATGTATTGCCGTGTCCGCGCCGTACCCGTGTCCTATATTTTAAAAAAAAGCCGTGTCCGTGTCGTGTCGTGTCCGTGTCCGTGCATCATAGGTTTTGGGGGAAGAAGAGAAGATGTCATTTTTGGAGCCACTTCCAAGAAGGGGAAAGGGCAAAGGAGTGCGATTTTTTATGGACCTAAAAAGTTTGGAAGGAGAAGAAGATTAGGAGAAGATAGAAGCACCAAACATGGTTCAGTCGCTCCTACAATAGTATCGGGATGTGTTCCAACCAATTCAAGGGTTGCCTCCTCCACAGGAATGCGAACATGCTATTATCTTGAAGGAATGAGTCTCACCTATCAATGTTAATATGTATCGTCATCCCAAAATCGAATTGGGAGATGTTCTTCAATTGATGCGGTCAAGATAGCTTTCCACAGAATCGTCGACGTCCAAATTTAAATCAAAGAAGGGCGATCGCAAAATATCCGTTTGTCCTTGATTATCATATACGAAGCCATGGTCGATGTCGGGATCGGCCATGCACTAGCATGAGACTTGGAGAGGGTTGTATTCTTTCTCTTTGTAGAGATTCAACTCAAGAGAAGAACAAATCAAAGAGGGAGGGAGGAAGGAGGAGGTGACCACTCAAGGGGAGGGGATTGCTTAGCCACTTAGGATTTAGGGTTGGGTAGGAGGGGGAAACAATAAATCTGAATTTAATTTCAGATTTTGTGTATTAACTACGGAGGGAAAGGAATTTGAATTTGAATTTGAATTTCAAATTCAAACAAGGGTTGAGGGATTAATAGGCAAGAAGAGGGGATGAAGCCAATGATGGGGGCGGCGGCAAGTAGAGAGGGAGAGGGGATTGGGGAAGGGTATTATGGGTTTCCTAATTTATCTTTGCAAATTAGGAATGAGGAAATCAAATCCGATTTAATTCAAAATCACATTGAATCCCATTTAAGAACTTTCCTAATTTGGCTTTTATAATTTGGAAACTATTTGAATTTCAAATTTAATTGACTCTTTTCCAAATTGACTTTGCTAGTTTAGGAAGGTATCAAGAATAGATGGGAGATGTAGTCGGATTGGGAGGGTTGGATCTTGAGTGGAGCATGAAGTAACATCAAAGCACGATTGAGAGATGATGAATAAGGAGTGCAACTAGGAGGAGGGGGTAGAGGAAAAAAAAAAAAAAAAAAAAAAAAAAAAAGGAGAAGGATGAAGACGAACCGCGAGTCCCGGAATCCACCGGCGGCTGACGGGTATTGCAAGGCCCTCTCCTAGGGTTTCTCCTCTAAAGAACTCACAAAGAGATCAAGCAATAAAATTTGAAAATTTAATTCATCATCCTTTTACAATAGAAGAGGCCGCAATATAGGTCTAGATAAATAAAATAACAATGACTCAAATGCCTCTTGGGCTAAAACTCAAGCAAAGTCACAAGAAAGGGTACAATCGTAAATAGCAAATAAATAAACTATAAAGCATAAAAAATAAAGACTGTGAATCGTAGTTATCGATCTACGATTCCTACACTGATAGACTCGCCGATAACGTCTGTCGATGTCCTTATCAAGTTTTCTTTGTTCCACCTTGAGGACAATGTGGCACTTTGGGAGTAGAGTATTAATGGACCAGCCGATTTGATTGGGAGGGAATCATGAAGTTTTTTAATCAAGAGGGAGCAACTTAGGAAGGTTCTTAATCAAAGAAAAATTATTTATGAATGTTTAAATTGCAATTTTAGAAAATATCCAATCACAATTAATATAAGATGGTAAGCAAATTAAGTAATTATTAATAAATAGTTTAATAAAAAGAGTTAGAGTTTGAAAGTCATTCGCTGGCTAAGACTCTTAATGCTTCCAATCAATTGAAAAATAAAAATTCAATACACAACTATGTAGAGTGAAAGATCAATTGGCTCAAGCTGTTCCACAAAGTGATTTTTATGCATACTTATAGAAGATTCAATAAGGCAACTCATTATTGTGCTCAAAGGGCCATCGATAGTTCATTCATTTGGCATTTTGATAATTGCAATAATCATTGTATCCCTCAAGAATTTTTTTTCTATTCTGGAGGATGATAGTAGTTATCTTTCCTTTTTTTAGTGGCCTCTTGGCCTTTTTTACTTGTATGTAATAGTTTTTTTGTTGAATGTAATATATGCAATATTTCAAAAAAAAAACAAGAGGCCTAATATCATGGGGCAACAAGTAAAAAGGCCCAGCGAGACCATGACGTTTGCTTTTTTAATCAAGAAAGAACGCACAAAACCGAATCGAAGTTTTTTGAAAAGGAGTGTCAAGGGAGAAGAAGGATGTGATTAGAAGACCTCGACCGAAGCTTGATAAGGAGGGAGTAGATCGGAAGCGCGGATGTCCTCGGCAAGCATCAGTAACTTTTGAGGGACGCTCAACGACGGCAGCCGCACCGCCCCTCGCAACAAAATAGTCGCCGACCGGAGCTCGCTGGCTAAGGTAACCCTCGTCTTTCTGTGAGTTTAGTATTGAATTGGATTTAAATTTGGTGCTATAAATCCGGATTTAGTAAATCCTGAGTGTTTGGCAACAGGCAGTATTTAACTTTAGTGAAATTGAGTAAATTTTGTAAATACGGAACTAGTCATATTCTGAGGGTATTAAATTTTAAAAATTATTTGGTATGAAATATTTTAAATTCTGATAAATCATGAAAAATTGTTTAGCAAAATAATTCTGGATTTAAGATTATTGGTTCATTTGTAAATTAAATTTAACATATTTTGAATTTAATTTGTGTGTTAAGTATGAATTACTTATTAACTTTAATTTTAATTATATTTAATAAATTATAATGATAAATGATATAATTAGGAGCTAATTTAATTATAACAAATTATTAAATTAATTATTTAGATGTTAATTATCAAATTACTTAATATATTATTAATTATCTAATTATATTTTAGAACCCTAATTAATTTGTTAATTATTTTTGAAATTATAAATTATTTAATTAATACTCATAATAATGATTTAGCTAATTATTTACATATTATTTAACTAATTTTAATTATTAATTATCTCATTGATCACTTAAATATTCAACTACTAATATATTAGCATTCTTTTATGAACCAGACAATTTAAAAATATTATATAATAATAATATTTCTATACAAATATATTTTTAGGGTTATTTGATTAGCAAAAAAAAGCGACATAAAAGAAATGTATAAATTCTTAAAATTTATTATATAAGTAAGTAAATTAATTTAATAATGTATTCAAATTTACCATTCAGCCCAATTTCAATGCATTTTGAATTTATCTAAATATGATAAATAAATTTTAAATACATCACAAATATAAAGCTTTGATCGTGAACGTTGGTTGTTGCCTTTCATCATCACCGCCACTTATTATTAGCACTCTTCGCTTCTATTTATCATTGCTATCAATATCGTCATCATCATCTGATGCCATTGTCATCACTATCTTCGCCGTTGCCACCATGTGGCCACAAGTATGCCATCACTATTATTGATCATTGATCTAGTTAAATTCAATATTAAATTTTGATGTACTACAACTATTTTTTGCAAGATAAAAAAATTAAAATATTTTAAAAAAATAAAATTAATTTATATTGCATTTAAATTGCATTTAAATTGCATTCCCCTTGACGCGCGTCGGAGTCCTACGCTCGCCAGTCCCGACTCGCCCCAAGCTAACTCAAGAATACCCACACTAGCGAATCTCCACGGCTCGACCCCTAGTCTCCATTTTTCCTTGACAGAACCCTAAACACTGCCACCTCCCGTAGTCACAGTGGGCGCAAGATGCCGCCGCGCGCCGCCAAGAAATCTTCGGCTAAGAAGCGATCTGCGATGGCGAAGAATCCGGCGTCGGCTTCGGAGTCTTCCCCGGCGGACGCTTCAACCTTAGTTGTCGGTGAGACGACACCAGAGCCAGAGGCCCTCTCCGCCGTTCCAGATAAGGATGCGTCAGAAGCCGATGCAGAGAGCGGTGATGCTCTAGCTGAAGGCAAGACCTCTCCGTCTCCCGCCATGGTCGAGGAGCCAGCTGCCCCGATAGGTGAGGATTTGATTTCTCCATCGAAATCCGAAGAGCCTTTGGAGGATGCAGATGCTGAGTTGGAGGGTGAGGAGGCTAGCGATGTGGTGGCAAAGATGGAGGTGGAAGAAGGTAAATCACCGCCTAAAATTATGGCTTACACATTGACAGCAGTTTTCTAAGTTTTTAGAGAGAAGTTGCAGGCTATTTTTAACTGGATGGAGTGGAAGTTAATGAGTACCATGTTAATTTTGTGTGGGATCTTATTTATGTTTTAATCTTATGCAATTTTATTTCGCAGACGTTCTATAGTTTAGTATGTATATATGAGTTAATCTAGCTTTTGGATTATTGGTTAACATGTTCGTTCAGTCCATTCCTCTCAACAAATGTCTTGTTGAACCTGTTTAAGTAACAAACCATTGGAAAAAAAGGATGCAAGAAACAAGTAAACTAAGCAGAGGAGCGATGTATTCAATAATGTTTGGACGTCAATATTGGTGTAGATTAACGTTTGCGATTATTTAAACTATTAATTGAAGCTAGAAAGGAAAGAATCAAACCTAAAAATTTGATTATTTTTTTTTTATGCTGAGTAAATTACGGTGGTGATCCTATTTAAAAGTTGTTAAAGTTCATTGTTCAATTGATCATGGCTCTTGTTTATGTTGCTTGGCATACAAAAGTGTGCTTAATGCTTATTACAGCTCTTTCCTTTAAACCTGTTGAAGACTTGAATTAGGTATGGCAAGTTACTAAGATCCTATGTGGTGATGCCATCATCAAGCTATTTGGAAGGCTTCATTTACTATGGTTTTCATGCTGGCGCTCTGTTAATTTAGTTGAGTTGCTATTTAGTAGTCTGCGCATCCATCTAAAATCCACGCATGTTATCAAGGCGAACAGCCGAACACTTTGGTTACTTTGAGATGCTATAAAAATCACATGAATGATCATAGTGCTTTCTCCATTTGCTTCATGAGAACAAGGTCATTATTCTTTTTAAGTGCTGTTTCTCACTTGGTCACTCAGCGATGTTGTTAAACTAGGGGACTCAACTGATGTACTTTATGAAGTATATTTGCACAGATCTGAAATGGACCTCTGAATGTTTTTTTTTTTTTTTTCATGTTAAGTTTGGTTACTCAATCTGGAGAGATATCTTTTGTTTCATGAATTTGTGATATCTAGTAAGTGTTTGTTTTACACAAGTAAATGATGACTTGCCTGTAAATTTAACTTTCATTTGAATTTTTTAGTGGATTGTGAATTGCCAAATTCTACTTGTTTTTTTTTTTTTTTTAATTTCTAGATTCCATAGCTCAACTGCATATTTGTGAAATATATATAAGGTTGTAAAGATTCCAGCCTCTATGTAATCAGGTGTTAAAGAAACCTTTGACAATGTTGTTAACACCAGAGATAAGGTTGAGTATGAAGATACTGATGCAGATGATGCTGAAGATGTTGATGGTGATGATGATAACGCCAGTGATGCTGATGTTGAGAATGTTGAGAATGATGATAATGATCACACTCTGGATATGCAGGCTGCTCTAGCTGAGGGACAAAATCAAAAAGGATCCCAGATATTTGTTGGTGGACTGGATAAAGGAGCAGTTGAGGATGATTTGATTAAAGTTTTTGGTGTCTTTGGAGAGGTCCAGCTTGCAAGAATAGTTAGGAATACAACAACAAAAAAAAGCAAGGGATTTGGATTTATCCGTTTTGCTAATAGTGAACATACCATGAAGGCTCTTGCTGAACTGAAAGATGGAACAGAGGTAGTGTATTCTAAAGCTTTTTTGTTTACATTTATCATCAATTGAGATATTTTTGTGAGAGCTCTTTGTTACATATTCTGGTCAGATAAATGGAAAACATGTTCGCATACAAGCCAGTCAGGATAACGCGACGCTTTATCTGGGGAACATCTCCAAAACGTGGACTAGGGATAACGTATGAGTGTCTTTTTTCTCTGTATTTGTGTTATTTTCTTAAATCAGTAGCTGTCCCACATATAACATCATTAGTTTTATTATGTGACTATTACAAATACATAATATTTGAATAAGGTTAACGTCAACATGATATACTTAATCGAATCATCAATAGTACTTGCTTACTTTGCATTTTGTGCTTGAAGGTGATCGAGAGGTTGAAAAGCTTTGGAGTCGAACAATTTGATAACCTGATTTTACCCAAGGACACCATGAATGAAGAAAAAATTAAGGGTTTTGCATTCTTGGAATTTAATTGTCATTCTGATGCAATATTAGCATTTCAACGCTTAAGAAAACCAGATGCTGATTTTGGTCGAGACAAGACTGTAAAAGTTGCCTTTGCGCATGCTTCATTGCATCCCAGTGAAGATGATCTTTTGCAGGTAAGTTATTATAGTTTTTTGTAATTTGTCTTTTCTCCATTCATGTTTACCTCTTAGATTTCACCGGGAAATTCTTTAAATGTCAGAATTTCTGCACTTATATTTGTATGTCGTTACTGTTTTGGTTAATAGATAGTAGTGCACTAATGATTTCAATCATTTCATATACGGATTCTCTATTTGGATAGGAAGAAGTCAGAATTATATTATATTTTATTCATCTATATGGTTAATAATCAACTAAATGTGTTGGATTTTTCAGTTTTGTCATGATTGATACCTCATTCGAGGATATTTCGGTTGCAACTTGCGTGTTTGTGAAGGAATGCTTTATTTGTGGGTCGGTCCTGTGGTCCTGTAGTTGAGACCAGCTACTTTTGGTGAAATGCAGCTGTAATACTTAATGGTTGCTTTATGTACAAGCTATTGCTAATCTACATACATTGGGCAGTTTATATTATTTCACTCACTTAAATTTCATTTTATTGTAGAGATTTGGAATCTTAGAAAGAAAGAACTTTTAGAAAAAAATTATTGTGCAAATGAATGACTAAGGTTTGAAGCATAGTTGAGCCGTCAAACCAATGTTATTATTCTAAAATTTTAATTATTTATGTCAATTTTGAAGAATTTAACTTGCAATCTTGCAGGTCAAGACTGTGCATCTTGATGGCATTCCTCTATCTTGGGATGAGGAGAAGGTCAAAGAAATTTGCGAAGAATATGGTCAAATAGAAAGAGTGCAGCTTTCTCGAAATTTCAGTTCAAGAAAAAGGAAAGATTTTGGGTTTGTTGAATTCTCTTCTCGAGAAAGTGCATTGGCTTGTGTGGAAGGGATAAACAAAGCTCAAATTGTTGATGGAAAAGCCAAAGTAGAGTATATTCAATTATCTTTGGTTTTCATGTCAATAATAAGCAGGCTTAAATTGATTTGAATTTGGTTTTAGGTCATAGCTAATCTTGCCAAACCTGTGAACAAGGGCCGGCTTGCCAAGCAAGGTTCCATCCAAGAAGCTGGTGGTATTGTGAAAAAGAGAAAAGCCCCTGAGGAGATTTTGCAGAAGGAAAAAAAGCGTAACCCAAAAATTGCCAGACTAAACAAGCCATCTACTTCTCAGAAAAGAGACTCTAAGGGTAAAAGTGGTCTGCAGGTAAAGATGTCTATCAGAAGGAAAAAAAATAATGGAAAGGTCACTGATAGTGATATTAGTGGCCGTTCTTCAAAAAAGATTCGCCAAAATCATAGTTACGGTATGCACACCTTTCTTTCATCTAAATGTGGTTTTGCGGACTTTGGACATTTCTTTCATGCTAATATACACAGGTAAGGTACATGATCGACACTTTTATGGTTTAGGCAATCGTAAGAGGGCTTACTCTGCAATTAGAGATGCGAGCTACGGTGCACGTACTTCAGCATATCCAGCAAGATATGCATATGCTGGAGCTTCTGAACCTCAACTTCGTCCCTCTGATCTAGTGAGCAACATCTGTTATTATTTTTCTCACCTTTGTCCTATATACATTGTTCGCTTTCAATGCATGTACCTGATGCGATTGTGTTTCAGGTACCCCATGCTGGATATCTTCCTGCTCTGAATCAAGGCGTAAGTACTCATGCATATGATCAAAGAAGGTATGTTTTGCAATTGTTTATGATACAGAGAAGCTTTGATTAGCTCTATTGTGCTTATCTCAACTTTCTTATGGTTTATTAGATCTGGAACTTACAGTAGTGAACTAAGGAGCAATTTTGGATCTGGCAGAGGTACGACTATCTGATAGGCTATGGAATTACCTAATCCTATATATTTATGATGTAAATATGCTTGAAAGAATTTTGTAGAAATTATCTTCATTTTTAATCCATTATTATTATTTTTATTTTTCCCGTTAAGTATCATTATCTACTATAGTTGCTTGACAACCACTACTGGTGTAGCATAAGTATGCCCTTTTTAGAACAGTAAGTAGTAAAAAGAAACACTCTTGTTTTATTTTCTATTTAAACGACAGAAGTCTCTCACACATCCATGTGGAGATTGAGGGTAGGAGGTTGGTAGATTATGTGGGTTTACTTGCAAAAGCAGGTGATGGGAAGGGGGGATGCTTAGGTATGGTTTAATACACTAGATGATCATGAGTGAGTGTTTGTATGCTTAGGTGCGCTTAGGCCTTTAGACTTGTAGGCCTAGGATTTTTATAGGAATTATGGATCACCATCATCACTAGCCTTATATATATATTTGTTATTAGCTATATGAATCTTCATTTTACCATTATTTCTGCTAAGTTCTACTTGAGGGTTTGTACCAATTATTTATAAATCATTTTGAACAGCTTATCCATATTACCTTTAGGTCTGTCTCTCTTCTTTTATAATGTTTCGACACAATTGGTTTCTACTCATCTAATAAGTGCATTTTTTGACCATCATTGTGCATGTTCAAATCATCTATGACCTTTTTATACTATTTCACCTTCAATAGTTGTCATTTCAATATTCCATTTAATATAGTTACCTCTTAATTTAGTCTTATTAGTTTTGCAACATGTATGTCTCAACATTCTAATTTTAATGATTTTTTTTAATTGCCCAACACTTAGATCTATACATCATTGATAGCTCAATTGCAGTTGACTCTATGATATCTTTATATTATAAACTAGTTTGAATGCACATCTCCATCTTGCTTTCATTCCTGATGTTGTGCTTTCATATATACTCATATTCTTTCAAATAATATATCTAAGATGCTTAAACTTGAAACCTATCGTTTATAATTATCACTTTATCTCTTAATAATTTTCAGTGATAATTGTTTATTTATACCACACCTAGTAAAAATATATATCACATACTTGGCCTTTATTTTACTATTTTTAAGTTCTTTATCTTCTAAATAATTTTGCCATTGTTCCATGATGCCCATTATTCTAGCATGCTTTATCTATTTGAACTACCATATTTGCAAAAAGCATACACCAATAGATGAGAATGGTTCAGATCCCTCAAAAGAAACTATACATCCAGGAATCTTTCTTTGAATTTGAATAATTATCATCAGTAAATACAGAAGATAAGGATTTAATGTTAGAATCTTTATGTTATCCTAATATAATTGAAAAGAAAAAAGGTGACTCAACCATTTATACTAAGTAGTGCTTCATAATGCATATGTTTAAACATACCATTGACACATTCCTTTCTTCTTTAATGTGCACTGACTCAACTCAGCGCTTGTGATACTCAATCATATGCCTTCTAAAGATTGATAAAAATTATATGAAGATGTTTTCTTAGCTCTCTCAATACTTCTTTATTAAATGCCTTAATACACTAAATTTCTTTCATAATAGATCTTTCTGTCATGAAATTAAATTAATTCTTTGAAATTATTATTAAATTTTGAACTATGTATTTTATTACTTTTACTCATAAGGTTATTTTATAACTCAAATGTTTGATACCTCTAATGAACATTTCTTTTGTTCAAGTGTATTGGCACCAAATTATTTTCTCTTCAATTTTAGTACATCCTTTATTTAGAATGTTGCAAAAGATGTGCTTGGAGTATCAAAGGGAAAAACTACTAATAGTAAAAATAGTTGGTGGTGGAATCAAAATGTGTAAGAAAAGATAAAATGTGTAAGAAAAGATAAAAAAATAAGAAGATTTGTTATAAAAATTTGTTTAATTGAAAAAAATTTTATAATTGAAAATATATAAAGAGGCCCGTAAGGAGTTTAAGAAAGCAATTGACAATGCTAAGATTTTACCTTTAATGATTTATATGATATATTAGATACTAAGGAGGTCGAAAGATATATGTATAAGTTGGCTAAACAAAGAGATATGGGTAGTAAGGATTTAGTTCAAGTGAAGTGGTATTAAGGATGTGTATTAAAAAATATTTTTTTTTAGAAGAGGATTTTCAACAAAGGTGGATGAGATATTTTGATGAACTTTTCAATGAAGATTATGAGAATGTGATTGACTGTAGTGAACTTAGCACCCTAGATGAAAATAAAGATTTTTGTTTTTATCAACATATTTGTAAAATTGAAGTTAAAGAGGCTTTAAAGAAAATGAAGTTTGGAAAAGCTGTTGGACGGTTGTACATGATGATATTCCAATAGAGGTGTGGAAATGCTTAGGAGATGAAGGAGTTTCTTGGCTTACTAAACTTTTTAATATTATTATGAAGACTAAAAAGATGCCAGATGAGTGGAGGATGAGCGTGTGGATTCCTATTTTAAGAATAAAGGTGATGCACAGGATTGTTCAAATTATAGATGAATTAAGTTAATGTGTCATACTTTAAAACTATGGGAGAGAGCTATGGAGCATAGGTTGCGGCGTGACACCAATGTTTTTCAAAATCAATTTAGATTCATGCCAGTTAGATCTACTATGGAAACTATACATTTATTGAGAGGTTTGATGGAGAAGTATAGTGAGAATAAGGAGGATATACATATGATTTTTATTGATTTAGAGAAATCATATGATAAAGTTCCAAGAGAAGTGCTATGGAGAGTTTTACATAACAAAGGATATGTATGGAGAGTTTTACATAATAATGCTTATATTCAAGTCATTAAGGATATGTATACAGGAGTTGTTACTTGTGTTCAAACGCAAGGTGTTTTGACCTATTATTTTCCTATTTCAGTTGGATTACATCAAGGATCAGCCTTATGCCCATATCTTTTTTTCTTTAGGCATGGATGTTCTCACTAGACATTTGCAAGAGGTTGTACCCTGTTGTATGCTTTTTGCTGATGATATTTTTCTTGTTAATAAGACTAGAGAGGGAGTTGAAGGTAAACTTGAATTATGGAGGTCAACTTTAGAGTATAAAGGCTTTCGTTTAGGTAGATCTAAAACTTAATATATGGAGTGTAATTTTAGTAATAATAGATGTAGTGGGGGGATTTTGACTTTGGGTCACATAAAACGACAACCTTCCAATGATCCAATTAATAAAGTAGATGTATTAGATTTGACTTATATTAAGAAAGGTAGAGGTAGACCTAAAAGGACTTGGTTAGAAAAATATTAGAAATGATATTTTTTATTATATTTAGATGAGAATGTCACTCTTAATAGGACACAATGGAGAAAAAGGATTCATGTAGCCGACCCCACATAGTGGTATAAAGGCTTGTTGTTGTTCTTGTATTCATCAAAATCCCACTCAAAAGTTTTGTTGACTATTCTCTATAATTTTTTAAATTTAAATAAGCATCTCAATTGAATTTAAATTCTTATCTTTATGCATCTTCTTCAAAACTAACTTTATTTTTTTCTTTCTCATGCTCTCCCAAAATAATTATTTATAATTCCATTTTATGAGTTCTCGAAGGAAACTTTCATCTTTTCTTAATGTATTTTTTTTATCAAAATCATGTGATATTTATTTTATTGCATCTAACTATCAAAGTCTCTAAGTGTCTTATATTAGTTATATTCAATATTTTGAAAATCAAATCATACATGGAACTGGAAGAAGCAGAGGTTCGCGATTCAATGGTTCAACCATAATTAAAATGGATGACATAATAAAATTAAAATTATTCAAATACTATAAATTACGTGATAATTAATTTTTTTAAGCGAATATATAACTGCATTGATTAATGCTTGTGAACAAGTTTGATTGACTATTAATGTGAATAGAAGTATGTGCTTATTATATATATGTGCAAAGTAGAAATTACACGTATCAGCAGAGGGAATGCTAAACCAGACATGCAGTAGAAGTCTAAAACCTGAAAGAAAGAATTACATTGCTGTTTAAAAGATAGTGTGGTTGTAAAATCTGTTGAAATACCGGCTTAAGAAATAGTAAGAGACGGTTATGCATGAATGCATATAAGTATCTTCCTTTAGGGTTGGTATAGAGTTAGCATGAACGGGCTTTATAGGAGTTTACCTAACATTTGTAAACTAGAACTGGCACCAAATTTTATGACGATGATGATAATATATGAAGGACATGCAAAACTGCACTAAATAAATGTTTTAATGTTGATTATCATGCTAATGATGTTCATTAGCAGACTCAATCATTGGATGGGCTACAGTCTATCGGGAGATTGTTTCTGAACAGAACCACGTCTAGACTGTCTCAGTATTTGGCATGTGAATTTGCTCTAAGAAATCCATGTTTTCAGGTCCTAATAAGACATTTCTGATTTTAATGATTACTTAGAAACCCAATTTAGGAGTTATTATGTTATATTTACAGAATATTTTGTAATATTGTTTGTAATCCGTCAACAAATTAGGAAGTTTAGATAAAATCTATCTTTATCTTAATCTTGGAAATTAAAAAAAAAAAGGTACAAAGCAGGAAATTAGATGCATCACAAAAGAGGATATTGAAGTAGACATGTAGTAGAAGTGTAAACCTAGAAAAATGTACACTGGATCACGAGTGTGGGAGTGAAATCTATTGAAATGTTGGCCTAGAAAATAAACACCTTTCTTTAAGGTGGGTAGAGTGTTAGCATGAAGGGGCTATAAAAGGAGTTTAACTAACATGGTTAATAGGTTTTTTAAATTAGAAGTAAAACCAAATCTTTTAATGATTACAATTGACAATTACAATAATTATGGTCAATTGTGTGAAGGATGAGCTGCTTACACAAAATGTTTTAATGCTGATTATCATGCTAATTTTATTCATTAACTGACTCGTCCATCGGGTTAGCTGGACCTCAGCCTTTTAAGGAATTGTTGCTCAACAAAAGGCTAAATCT